ATTGTAATCTCATTGTTACAGTGTGATTGACTGACATTTCTTTATCTGTTCTGTATGTGATGACCTCAGAATCTTATTGTAATCTCTGCATTCTGTCATCAATTGCCCTGTACCTGTGTATCTATAAATGCCCTGTAATGGTACTGAAGCTTTGCAGCAGAGTTCATCTCTGCCTGCCCGGTAATGCATGCATTATCGTGAGTGTACCGCGGGAACCTTGGGGGTAAAACAATAAAGCCTCAGATGGTCTGGACACTTGGTCTTTCCCACGAACCTGAGTTTTATTCCCTCTTCTCAAATTGAGATTCCGGGATTCTGACACCCCTCCGAAGGGTTAAGCCATTTAAGCTAAAATATGCTGGTATTTTTGGAATCGGGACCCCACCTACCACTGGAATGTAGGTGCTGTGAACAGTCCAGAGAGTTTTGGCTGTTGAACAGTATAGAAATTTAAATTGAACCTCCCCAGGGCAATTCTGAAATAAATCTCCATTGTCAAGCTGAAACTGGTTCAGCACCCCTATTGTCAGGAATGGCTGGATCCTAAGCACTGTTAGATGCATTAAAGAATCCCAATGATACCGTGCTTCTCTGCATATGACAATATTGTTCAGCATTCATCTAGTGTAGAGAATAAAACAGAACCCCCTTTTTCAACAACCGGGTTTTCAGTGCAGAGAAGGGGCACACGGCACTGAGATGCTTAGAGCTACTCAGTCATGTGGAGTCCAGGCCTGCACAGCTGTACAGTTAAAGAGCCCCTTCTGAGCCTTCTGTCCACGTGGAGTTTGGAAGCGGGATCCTATTTCTGTTCCACACTGTAAATGCATTCAGTGTCCAAGCCACACTATATGCATTCTGCAATAAAGGGTAGCCCTTCTCATGTATTCCAGGGGCAATCCAGATGTTTGATTAACAGGTATAGAGCAGCATGGCCATTCCCAAGGAACTAATGCTTCTCAATCCTCCTAGCACACCTCCATCCACATTTCTGCATACACACTCGCTTAACATTCTGCACCGTCCCCGTCTTTGCAGCTTTCACTACGCAGAACAAGGGCTGGGGCCACTGGTGCTCCCCCTCCTTTGTTGGACTAGAGTTCTCATCATCCTGCATCATTACCTGTACTGGCTAGGGCTGATAGAAGTTGCAATCCAACAACATTCAGAGGGCCGCACATTGCCCACCCCTGCTGTAGAGAGCTATGTGCATGTGTGTGACTAGACATGCAGTTAAGGTCATAAGAAGAGCCACACTAGCTCAAAGGTCCTGCCAGTATTATGGTCACATGGCAACCAACTGGCTGCCAATGAGAAACCCACAAGCAGGACATACTTGGCAGAGCACTCTCCCATCCATTTTCTCCAGCAACTGGTGTACATTGGCACACTGACCCCACTACTGGAGGTGACATATAGCCACCCCTTTTGTCTTCAGCCCCATTCAGCAGCAGGATGTGGTGTCTGAGGGCCTTCCAAAATCACATTCAGCCCTCAAGCTGAAAGAGGTTCAACTGGTCTGCTCTCACAGCTGTAAGGTTATGGCAGATCTCTTCTTACATGCTTGCTTGTGGTTTCATCGGCACTAATGCTGTAAACAGCAGTAGAATTGTTTTCTACTTACAGGCTGCTGAGAACCCTTTGAAAGCACTGTAAGACAAGACTTCTGGTAGTCTAGTACATGGTCAAAGAGTTTTTTAAAATATCAGTGGTATTAATTTGATAAAATATTATTGCATTTTGTCAGATCTGGGGTGTGTTTACTTATAGAAGCCTTTCCTAACCTGGTAGCCTTCAGAGGCATTTGGACTGCAAATCCCAGAATTCCCATCCAGCAGGGCCATTAACTGGGAGTTCTGAATGTTGCAATCCAATGTGTCTGGAAAGGACAAAATTGAGGAAGGCTGCTTAGAGGATTAGTCTCCCTTCAGACTTAAAAACCATAATGACTTGCAATGATTTGAGAGATTTATTTAGAAAAGCACAAGAACATAAGAAAAGCCATGTTGGATCAGGCCATGGTCCATTTGGTCCAACAGTCTGTTGACTCAATCAGCTGCCCATGGGAAATCGACAAGCAGGACATGAATGTAACAGACGGTCCTGCCCACCCACGTTCCTCCACAACTGGCATACACAGGCGACTGTCCTGGTCCTGGAGGTAGCATATAGCCATCAGGATTAATAGCCAGTAACACTTTGATTGCTACTTGTATTGAAGCCAAAACATCTGAAAGAACATCTGCTGTAGCTCATTGCCAGGACTCCTGATCTGTACATGCAGCCTACAGAATATTCCTTCCTACCAATTGAGGGGCATAGGCACCAGCTGCCATGTTGCCACACTGACCCACCCTCCCCCGCCCAAACTTTCATTTTCCCTCAAAATTAATTCTGTCCAACTACATCAACATATCTAGGATGGATCAGAAGCTGCTGCTACAAAGCTATTGCACTGTATGGGTTCTACTGGAAGCATGGCAAGGAGGCCATTTTATTTATTTCATTTATATGCCACCCATAGTCAAAGCTTTCTGGGCAGTTTACAACAAAGTATAAAAACAATGAAATACATTATATAAAATGTTAACAAGAGTTTAAAAATAATTTAAATTGGCATAACATACATTAAGAGACAATAAAAACACCCAGCCAAGAATAAAAGAAAGGCACCTGAAAAATCTCAACAGACTCCTGAATGACCAGGGAGGTCTTCAAAGGCCTCCGCAAAGAGGCTGCCTTAACCTGGCACCAAAAGGATGGCAAATTTGGCTTCAGGTGGGCCACAACAGGGAGGGTGTTCCAAAGATGGGAGGCCACCACAGAAAAGACTCCCCCTAGTTGCCACTCGCCCAGCCTGTGGATTCTGCCCATGCAGTTCAAACATGCTTCCCATGGAGAAAGTGCAGGCAGTGGCCCAGCAATTCATTGTTTGTCTCACACTAGGCACAAGGGCTGAAAGTCCTTATTAAGGTTCAACAGCTCATGTAATAAACTTTCCAAATTTCCAAAGGATGGGATAGTTTCTTGTCACAAGCCTTCAGCTTGTTAGGAAGCACACAATGATCGTGCTTCGAAGTTGCCTTTCCCAATCATTCTTTAGATTAGGGTTTACCTTGCTGAGAGAACAAAACAGTTTCCTTTGCTAAATAGGATTGCCCCCACCCCATTACCCAGGAAGAAATATGAACCTGAATGCATTCTGAACATCTCTGCAATACATGGAGAAGAGAATTTTGTAAAATCCATGGCAGGAGTTATTTTCTTGTGTTCTTGGCTTGGGAATGTGGCTCACCCAGGCACCTTTGGCCTACTCAGAGAGCCCATATGGCCACAGAGAGGGGAAATGTATGCTTTCTTTGGCTTACGTGGATCTATATTTCATCTTGTTTTTAATAAGCTGTATATCAACTTTGACAGTGGTGGATTCCTCCCTTCCTAATTATCCTTCAGTCTGAAATTAGGTGCCATGGCTGAAGCAGGCCCTGGGGTTTAAACACCCATCTTCTTCCATATCCCAAAGTGTGTTAATTATCTCCTTGTTGCTATCTGAAAAAAAAATCTGCAGATGGATTCCTGGATGTGTGAAAGTCAAGGTACAAGTCTTTTCAGTATGATCCAGTTTTGCCATCTACAACTAATTAAGTATACATTGTAGGAAATGTGTTGTTACGTGCCTTCAAGTTGTCACTGACTTATGGCAACCCTATGAATGAATGCCCTTCCAAAATGGCCTGTC